AAGTCAAAAAAGGTAAAAAAAAAAAAAAAAAAAAAAAAAAAAAAAAAAAAAAAAAAAAAAAAAAACACCCCCACAAAATATTTTAATATTTTTAAAAAAAAACATTTAAAAATTAAAAAAAAAACAAAAAAAAACCTTGAAAAAACAAAAAAAAAGAAAAAAAAAAAAGAAAAAAAAAAAACTAAAAAAATTTAAAAAAAAAAAAAAAAAAAATCAAGCTTAGACCTACATTTCCTACAGATGATTGCTCCTGCCCCACCTCAGGTAGGGCGAAGGCTTCTTCTTACCTCCAGACTGTTCCTACGGTTGTTGGTGCAAGCTCCATGATCCCTTCAAAGTCTGTTCCTCTGGATGACAGGGGCTGTCTCCTTGAGAGCACTTTCAAATCCTTCCCAGGATCCAGCACCTGAGAACAGGCCCTATCATCTGTCATTACATATTCCTGCCTAAGCTGGACATTACAGCCCCTAAGAGTAGCACTAGAAAAAAAACATGACCCATCGGGAAGCAGAAGAGAAATATTCTCAGGGCCTTTCTAAAATAAAAAATGAATAGAATTTGGTCTCAATCACTTTAACCAATCATTAATATGAAAGCACCTAGTATAGAACCTGACATATCAGAAGTGCTAAAAGTGGCATACATTTGTTGGAAGTGAGAATGTCTGCTTCCACTTTAGAAAGCTCCAGTGATCTCAGCACTACTACCATTTCCTCTTCCCACAAATTCATACATGACCAAGAGCAATCCATTCCACTTTAAAAAGATCCCTTTCATGGCTCCTCATTCTATCTCAGTACGCTCCAGACTGTCTGAAGCACTATCATCACAGCTTAAATGTCTGCCTTGCATCTTCTCTGCTCCCAGACACTCTCCAGGGGTGTCCAAGCTTTTGGCATCTCTGGGCCCACTGGAAGAAGAAGAGTTGTCTTGGGCCACACATTAAATACATTGTGACACGTAATCACAAAAAAAATCTCATGTTTTAAGTAAATTTACGATTTTGTGTTGGGCCACATTCATAGCCATCCTGGGTCTCATGCAGTCCGTGAGCCATGAGTTGGACACCCTTGCAAGTCTAATCCATTTTCTCTCTGCAAAGAATACAATAGATCTTTTAAAAATGTAACATCATATCCATCCCTGTTAATACTTTCCAGTGGCTTCCCACTGCACACAGAATAAAATCCAAATTCCTCTACACAGCCTGAAAGGCCTTGCATGGCATGGCCCCTGCTTTCCTCTCTCACTTTCTCTTCCATAATTTTTCTCCTAGATCCTGAAGCTCTAGCCACACACCTTCCCTTCTTTATCAAACATCAAAGTCCTCCCCCACCTGAGGCTCTTGGAGTGTGCTGCAGTGCTCTCTTCTCAGCTCCAGGCACAACCAGCTCCTTCTCACATCTCAGCACTAACGTCCCCTCTGAGGACATTACCGAACTGCCTGACTCCCCCACAGTCATTCTCTATAGGATCACCTTGCTCATTCCTTCAAAGCGCTTATCTGTAAGTATCTTTATTCATTTACATATTGTGTTTCTCCCATGGAATGCAGGATCCAGCAGGCCAGGGGCCATGCCTGTCTTGTTCAATATAAAATCCCCAATATTGTCCTGGCCAATGTGGCTCCGTTGGTTGGAATGTTGTCCCATGGACCAAGGGGTGGAAGATTTGATTCTCACTGAGAGCACATACCTGGGTTGTGGGTTCAGTTCCTGGTCTCTCTAAAATCAATAAGCATGTCCTAGGGGAAGGATAAAGTAAATAAATAAAATTTTTTAAAAAACCCCTAATAGCCGGCATATCATTGTCACTTGATGAGATTTTTTTTTTTAGAGAACTGTTCTGAGTATTTTTACCACTTTAATTAGAGGCTCTAAACATTCACTGAATATATTAACATCCAAGTTATTTCAGCAAATATGAAATTCTTCCCGTAGACTAAGGGCATAGGACCAACTCAAGCTAGCTAATATTTTGGTGAATGGCATAGAGCTCGTGTGACCAGTAACTAGATTCCTGTGCTCCTCACCCCAACTTCTTATAATGTAAACCAGAAGATTCTGACTTCCTTTTCTCAATTTTGCCTGGGTACACTCTCTACCCCCGCAACCAGAGGCCACAGCTTCCTCACCATCGTCTTTTTAGATTTTATTTATTTGCTTTCAGAGAGAGGAAGGGAGGGAGAGAAACAGCAATGTTCAAGAGATACATGGATCAGTTGCCCCTTGCATGCCCTCAACCAGGGACATGGTCTGCAACCCAGGCATGTGCCTTGACTTGGAATCAAACTGGAGACCTTTGGGTTCACAGGTCAGCACTCAATCCACTGAGCCACAGCAGCCAGGGCAACTTCCTCACCATTTTCTGAAGACTGTTTCTACACTTGGGTCTGGATCTTCTCTGGCAAGATGGTGAGAAACTGCTCCAAAACCAGCAGCTTCAGGATTTGTTCTTCTGAGTGTGTCTTAGGCCTCAGCCACTGACAACTGAGTTCCAAGAGTGTGTTAAAAGCTTCATGGGGGCCAGTTACTTCCTGACAGCAGAACTTCCTGAAGTACTAGCGGGAAGAAGCTTCATAATCAAGGATGTTGCTATGAAGAGCAGATTTCTGTCCCTGTGCGGAGTCTTGGCTTGGTGATGGGTATGCTTGGTGACACTGTTGCAGCCATTATTCACTTCATGAACTAGCTCACTGGTTGCCACTTCCACCAAGGATTAAATTCCATTTCTTTTCATATCATTGGGAAACAGTTCTCATAGATCCCAATGACAGGAATCAGAGACATCATATTGACACCGATGTCCAGAATCACAGTTGAAAAGGGCAACTTTGAAGGGAGAATGGAAAAAATACAACATAAAATTGTTCCATATTCCTTCCCTCTGCTTCTTGTGATTTATTTCTATCCTTTTCCTTTACTCTCTCCAACAGTCCAAGCCAAGCACCCACAGCACTAGAAATATCAAAAAAAAAAAAAAGAAATTTTCTCCCAGCTAGATTTCTCTTCGCTAAGGAATTCCTCAAACTACTCACAGTGTAGTTCAGCTGTTCCTTCTCATGGTCCCTATGTCTGGATCTTGTCCCTGCCCTTTCCCATCCTCAAAAAGCCTGGACCCACTTTCCCAATTGCTGCCTTCTCTTAAGAAGAGATTAGAATGGGAGTGCATCTCAATTAACCTCTTTATTACTGTGACACCCTCCTCTCTACCACCACTATCACGTATAATCTGGACAATAAATGACTGTTACGGTTTGCTGTATATTGCCCCCTCTCCAGCATTCCTTCCCCACTTCTGATAGCAGCAGCATCTTCCATTTTGAAAGAGCCCCTCTCTATTCCATTGGACCTGGTGAAGCTATTCATTATTACAGTACCCTTCTCCCTGTTCCAGGAGTGAGCACCTGAAAAATGCTGAACCTGTCAAAATTCTTCTCTGAGATTTGACATACAGGTAGGGTGGGAGAAATTCTGAATTTCCTGTGAATTGCTAAATTGGGAAGATGTAAGACTGGAACTATCTTCAAGTATGTCCCACTCAACATTCCACCTCTCTTCCACCAAGGGGTGAGCCTGTTTACAGGAGAAAAAAAAAAAGGATCCAGGTTGGCTTTCTTCCAAAGAACTTGAACTGCCTTCATTTATATTCCCTTTACATTTCAATGTGGCGGTAGGGGTTAGAGATAAAGGAACCAAAGATGTTGTTAACAGTCCCTTTTAACAACAACAATAACAACAACAACAACAAAAGGAGCATCACATAGCATAGGTCCTTAGCAGCAAGGCCAGGACTAGACCCTGTACCGCCCTCCCTTACCTTACACATTTTCATGCACCCCACATTTTATCTGAAAGAATAATAAATGCTAGCTTCTTTTTAAAAAAAAGATTTTATTTATTTATTTTTTGAGAGAGGGGAAGGGAAGAAGAGAGGGAGAGAAACATGGATGTGAGAGAGAAACACCAATGTTCAAGAGATACATGGTATCTCTGCACACTCCCAACAGGGGACCTGGCATGTTCCCTGGCTGTGCCCTGATTGGAAATAGAACTGGTGACCCTTGGGTTTATGGGACAATGCCCAACCCACTGAGCCATACCAGTCAGGGCAATAAATGCTAGTTTCATGCAGAAGGCGGAGCCAGCACTCCTCTTGACCCCTGATGTTCCATTCCACTCATACTTAATTTTAAAATTCTAGTCTCTCAGAAACGTGTTTTCCTCTGGCGGTGATTCACTCAGCGGAAAGCAGGATAAGAATGGGGACCATACAGATTCACTTTCACTCGGCAAGGATACACTCAGTGAGTACTCATAGAATAGTGCACTCGATGTTAAGGTTCGGTGCTGTGGCTGAAGTGACGTAGGAAAACATCTGCAGGCTCCGGCTGCCGCAAGACGGGGATGAGATGATCAGGGTCAAAGGCCAGAAGGAGTCGGGATTCCGGCACAGAGAGCCGAACCCGGACTGGTCCGCTCTGATGGGCTGAGGGTACCATGGCGCAGAAAGGTGACCGCGGAGCATGGGAGAGGAGCCCGGGCCTGGCACGACTGCCCTGAAAAGACTCCAGCGGCAAAGGGCACCCAAGCCAACGTGGGGCCCAGCTGGGAGCCCGTGGCCTGGAGCAAGCAGGGCACTCATCAGATGCACGCATTCACTCATGACTCTTCAAACTTGTTCAGCCCCGGGGCTGTTAAGTCAGCACGCTGGCCAAAGCGCTGGTGTGCTGTCAGCTAACGTTTGTAGGCCGGGCCACCCGACTACAACTCCCGGGGTGCACTACGGCTGGGCGCCGTTCCTCACCAGCATCGACAGATACAGCAGCCAATAGACAGGAGAAACTGCCCTCGAAGAGCCAATCCCTCTAGGAAAAAGGCGGGCTCTCCCGCAGCGTAGTTCATTCGCAGCCAGTGGGAGTGTCCGCGACGAAAGGCTTCTGCCCCGCCCCTAGCCCTGGCTTCTGGCTTCTGGGTTCTGGTTTCCTGGTCCCCTGAGAGGTGAGTCGGCTGCAGGTGGGCGCGGGGTGCAGGGCTGTCAGCCACACTACCTTTCCAGGGGCCAGCCCAGGCTTGCACTTGGCCAAGGAGTTGAGGAGTACGGGAGTGCGGGAGCTTCGCCAAGCCCGGGGCCCGAGCCTGGCGCTTTCTGAGGCTGGAGCAGCCGGGCCTTCGTATCCTCTGGAACGAGCAGTCACCGTGCCTCCAACTACCCTGCTCGAGAGTAGGAAGCTTTCGCTAACTCCCAGCCGGCGTGCGCCGCGGCCTGCCTAGGATCATCGTGTAGCTCACGGCAAGATGCCGGAGGTCTGCCAAACCAGAATGCCAAGCAGTTGGTGCAGGCTACCTGGCTGACAACTTGAACTTTTCGTAGGGATTCCTGTCAGCCCACTTAGGTCATATAGCGCCTCCCCCCCACCGTACCCCCCGACTTCGTGTGCTTATCGCTGAAATAAAAGCAGTATTTTCCCCAGTTTCCTTTTAGGACGTTATGACTTTTTTCCTTCACAAGACAGTTCTAGAAACTGACGGAAAGATAGATTCTTTCCACTCCCGGGGACTGGGTCGTCTTCAGGAGTTTGCGGTCAAGGCCAGCGAATGAGAAGACCCCATCCTGTTGGGTAGGAATTTTATTTGGGGGGAACTTAATTAGACCTGGTCTGCATCCTCTCCTCAACATCCTCAGAGGAACTTCATTTCTAGCATCTTTCCAGCATTTGGAAATACTTCTTCAGGGCCATGATCCCTTAGGCTTGAGCTGCTTACAAAGAGAGAGAGAGAGAGAGGCTGTCTCCTGAGCCCCAAAATGGCAGCTAAGATGGAGATAACTTTGAGCTCTCAGTCTCACATTCAGGCTTCTTCAAAGCAAGAGAGACACATCATAACAAAGCTAGAAGAGAAACGGGGGCCAGCTCTGCAAAAAGACAGCCCCGATCCTGAGGTCTCCCGCCAGAGCTTTAGACGGTTTTGTTATCAAGAGGTGTCTGGACCCCAAGAAGCACTATCCCGTCTCCGACAGCTCTGCTGGCAGTGGCTGCAGCCTGAAGTGCACACCAAGGAGCAGATTTTGGAGCTACTGGTGCTGGAGCAGTTTCTGAACATCCTGCCCCCAGAGATCCAGGCTCGGGTCAGGCATCGATGTCCAAGGAGCAGCAAGGAGATGGTGACTCTGGTGGAGGATTTTCACAGAGCAGCCAAGAGACCAAAGCAGTGGGTAAGGCGGGTGTTTTCTATTGGTCCCCAGGATTTGTTTTTCATCTGGATAGTGTTTGGTCTCTGGCCCCCTCCCTAGGTAGAGCCCATTAATGGACCAATGGCTTCAAACATGTCTTCTGGCCTCTATTTTGGGGTACAAACCCCCCTACTCTCAGATGTACCAGGTCTTCAGAAAATCCAGCCACTGGCACTCTAGTGAGGAAGTACAAGATAGAGTAAGGTTATTCTTTGCTGACAGATCTGTGTCCATCCATTCCTCCTAAAGTTTTCCTACAATTGGGATTCCTAGCAGACAGCATCATCCTGTTGGGTAGGAATTCAATCCTGGGGGAACGTCATTGGATCTTATTCCAGTGAAGTGTCTTGCGTATTGCATTTGGATCAGCAAGTCACAGCTCATTTGGCTAACATTCCTTCCAACCCCCACCTCCCAAGTCTGACCAAAGTCCAGCCCTAAGCAGGAAGCAAACAACCATGTGGTTTTTGGGAATGGAAGCAGGGAACAGGAGTGGGGCAGTCTTCTTAGAGCCCTGCTACTGCTTGGATATCCTTACTGGAGAGCCTTGAGAAGAACAATTTATTAGATAAAAATGGTTTTTAAAGGTTCCCACTATACTGCTTTCCAGTCCCACAGGGCTTGTTTTTAGAAGAAGTAGGAAGGCAGGTGAGCATAAGCTGAGAATCTGCTGAGCCAATGTCATGGCTAACCCTGTCTGTGCCTGCTCTCTGATGACTTTGACTCCAGGCCCTGGGCAAGGCCCAAGCTCTAGAAATATCCATTCAAGTATTAGCTGATTTGAAGCAGCCTCATTTTGGTTATTCTCCATGTCCTTCCCTGTGCCTCCTTTGAGAGTTTCAGCAATATCTATCAAAGTTGACCTCCACGCTGTTATCAGAAATTCCCAGGGTAAAGGGGTCATAACAGGGCAGTGAGAAGTCAAGCTGCCTTCAGTCAGTTCTCCAGCTGCACTCTAATCCATGGGGCTTGTTCCTAGGTGGCCGTTTGCATGCAGGGGCAGAAGGTGCTCTTGGAGAAAACTGGATCTCAGCTTGGAGAACAGGAACTGCCAGACTTTCAATTGCAGACTCCTAGGAGATATCCTAGGGAGAGTTGTCTGGAGGAGCCTTCCCAGGCAGGATCTCAGGACGAGTTTAGCCCCTGTCATTGGGAAAAATCCCCATTCCTTCTGGAACCACCCACCAAACTGTCTGGGACAGGTAAATACTCTGTGCCTCCTCTCTTCCTTTCATCAGTCCTTTTATCTCCATCAAAGCATTCATGATTCTGAAAAGCCATACACCAGGTTTTGAGGGGTCTTTTTAATATGTATGTAATCTTTATTCCTGAACAAATTTCACTAACAGGAATGGTAATGATACTACACATAAGAAGTATGTTTTTATTTTCTGTTAATGACTGTTTGACAATGCAGTACACAACAGGACTATTCAACTGCCTGCTTTTCTATCCCTTTCAGAGCTTCCTATAGTAGACAGATACAAATATGACCACTGATGAACTTCCATGCAAACTGTAGCTGAGTTTCTTCACTTAAAATGGTCCCATGTTGAGAAAGCATGTAAAGAATGTTCTTTTCACTAGAGAAAAAGCCCACCACTCTATATTATTTTCTGCCTATTTCTCCTTCTGTAACATTTTCTGTGCTTTAAACTTTTGTGTCCACTACCCTATCTATCTTTGGTACAATGCCAGCGTAACTGTCAACCCTGTTCCACACAGCCCTGTGATCACTAAAATTGAATGACAGTGACACTTTGGCCAGTCCTGGTGATGTGAATACAGGATACAGTCAGCAGGTTAGAGAAGAGAGTTAGTTACAAGGAGCCTAGAGCCTTGATCCCTTCATATTTGGTAGATTCCGTGAAACACTGGTTTGATTATTCTCAAAACTCAAAAATGTAGAACTGCCCCATATCTATAGCCTTCATGGTTCTGAATAAAGGGGATCACACATACTCCCTTCTGCCTCAGCAGAGGCAACTGGGTGTGTGTGTAGTCTCTATCTCCTTTCTTTTTGATTCCTGAGAGAGTACATTCTCGTGCTTCTCATCCCTAAGGTCCAACAGTGCCTTCTTTCAGAGCTGCCCTGGCCAGTACAGTTGCCAGTAGCCACATGCAACTATTTAAATTTTATTTATTGAGATATAATTCATATACTTTAAAATTCACCATTTTAAAGTGTGAATTTTAGTATAAATACATTGGTTTTTAGTATAATTACACAGTTGTACAACCATCACTAATTTCTGAGTATTTTTATAACCTCAAAAAGAAACCCATGCTCATTAGCAGTTACTCTCTGTCCCTTCCTCTCTAGTTCCTGGAAACCATGGTCTACTTTATGTCTCTGGATTTGCCTATTCTGAACATTTCATTGTCCAGAATCACACAATATGTGCTCTTCTGTGACTGGCATCTTTCACTTAACATAATGTTTTCAAGGTTCATCCACGTTGTAGCATGTGTTACTACCTTATTCTTTTTTATGGCTAAATGATATTATATTAATGGACATTTTGTTTATCAGTTGATAGACATTTGTGTTGTTTCCACTTTGGGCTGTTATGAATAACACTACTTGCATATTTGTTTACAAGTTTTTCTGTGAACATGTTTTCATTTCTCTTGGGTATGGAGTAGAATTGCTGGGTGATACAGTAACTATGAATAACCTTCTGAGGAAATACCAGACTGTTTTCCAAAGTGGCTGTGCAATTTTACATTCCCACCAATGGTCTATGGGGATTCCACTTTCCTTGCATCCTTAATAATACTTGTTATTGTTGGTCTTTGATTATAGTCATCCTTTGGTTATAATCATCTTTTAGGTGTGAAATGGTATAACATGGAGGGTTTGAGTTATTTCCCTTATAACTAATGATGTTACGCATCCTTTCATGTGTTTTTTGGCCAGTTGTATATATTCTTTGGAGAAATGTCTGTTCAGATCCTTTGTTCATTTTTAAATTGGTTTTTTTTTTATTGTTGAAAGAGTTCTTTACATATTCTGGATACTAGACCCTTATATAGAGTGTGCAAGTATTTTCTCCTCTTCTTTGGGTTGTATCTTTACTTTCTTAATAGTATTGCTTCAAGCAGAAATGTTTTTAATTTTAATGAAGTCCAATTTATCTATTTTTTCTTTATTTGTTTGTCTTTTTGGTCACATATCTAAATTATCATGGCCTAATTCAGAGTCACAAGGATTTACCCCTATGTTTTATTTAAAGAGAGATTGGTTTAGTTATTACATTTAGGTCTTTGATCCATTTTCAGTTAATTTTTATATATATTGTGAAGTAGGGGCCCAACTTCATTCTTTCACATCTGGAAATCCAGTTGTCTCATCACCATTTATTGAAAAGACTATTCTTTCCCCATTGAATTGTCTGGACAGCCTTGTTGAAAAACAATTGACCGTAATTCTGTGGGCTACTTGTTTAAATTAATTAAAAGTTTAAAATACAGTTTCTGTCACACTAGTCACATTTCAGGTATCAAGCTACTGGCTGCCATATTGAATAGTGCGTGCACGTGTGTGCACATGCACACATATACACTGCCCATCTCTGGAATCTATGGGATAGCACAGTTCTAGATCCTCTGACTAGCTCACGGACCATTCCAGCTCATATCCATCCTGATTCTCAATCCTGGTGGTCACAAGCTGGGTAGTTTCTGTAAATAGGATGCACATCCAGCCCATATCCCTGTTTCCAAACACAAATGCTGTCAATTTTATAAGGAAAGAAAATGCCACATTCACTGGATTTACCATTATTTGTATAGATAGTGGTGGTCATTCAGTGTCCATGAAGAGAGAATATATTTGCAATGTTGAAATTCCAACTCTCTTCTTTCACTTCTTAGCTGATACTCAGCCCTTATAGGTTTTCTTTTCCCTATTTCTCCCTTTCTTAAACCTTTCTTAAATTCAGGAAAGGATGGGGGGGTTGGAGAACTTGGTTCCTAACTTTAATATAAATCAGAATCACACCAGGAGACTGTTAACTGTGCAAATTTCCAGGTCTCATTCCATTGCTTCAGAGATTCTGACTCAGCAAGTGCCCCAGATAAATCTAATACAAGTTGCCAGTAGAGGAACACACTTTGAGAAACCTTACAGTATATTTCATAACTCTTTTGCTGAGGTTCATTCTTTGAAGCCCAGAAAATGAAACATATTTCTTTGTAATTATAGAGGCCCCCAGAATGAAAAGTGAGAACAAGGAGAATCCACAACAGGAGGGAGCTAAAGGAGCAAAGCCATGTGCAGTGTCACCCAGCAGATCCAAAGGAAATGGTCTGCAGAGTCCTGAACCAAGAGGGGCAAATATGAGTGAATCCCGGTTGTCACGGAGGCAAGTCAGTCCCCCAAATGCTCAAAAGCCATTCACTCACTTCCAGAGACATTGCAGGGAACTGGAATACATCAACAGCCTAAAAAGCCATCCACTGAGAGAGCTGAAGAAAAGCAAAGGAAGTAAAAGAAGCCTGAGTAATCGTTTACAGCGTCTTAGTCACCAGCCAACCCATTCAGTGAAGAAACCTTACAAATGTGATGACTGTGGGAAAAGCTTCACATGGAATTCGGAGCTGAAAAGACACAAGCGAGTCCACACAGGAGAAAGACCCTACACATGTGGAGAGTGTGGAAACTGCTTCGGGCGACAATCAACTCTGAAACTGCACCAGCGGATCCACACTGGAGAGAAGCCATACCAGTGTGGCCAGTGTGGGAAAAGCTTTCGCCAGAGCTCAAACCTTCACCAACATCACAGACTTCACCATGGGGACTGAAAGCAGAGCTTTGGTCTTTCTGTTCAAAAGGAAGGTATTTGTGTTTCTCCTTCACCTTACTTACATATCCAGTAAATCACAGACTGTTGGTGTGACTTACAAGGAAAGCAAGAGGTCCCTAAAGAATGATGGTGTACATTTCACTGGTGAGGAACCCCAGAAGAAGCCACTGGGGATGGGACCATGCACAGTTGAGGGTGAAGAAATGGCAGGTCTGAGTATTAGTTGAAAGAGAACTGGGGCTTCTGCTGGAGAGCAGGATGTAACTACTGAGGGAGAATCAGGATGATCCTGCAGGTGCCCCTACCCCATGTTAAATCTTTCCCACACTGCTTTATTTATCTTCAAAGGTATATCCTATATATAGTTATGCATTTACTGTTATATCAGACAATCTTTATCATGCATATGCTTCCTAATAAAGATGGGTGATCCACAAGAATTTCAAGGCAAAAGCTCATTGAAATATAAATTCCTTAGTATTCTTTCTGTAATTCCTGGCTATTCATAACAAAGAATGCATGAAGGGAGAGTATGAATGTGTTTGTGTGACAAGAGGGTTTCCAGGTAATTGCACAGTGCTTTAACCAAAATAAACACACACACACACACACACACACACACACACACACACACACACACTGAGACATCCTTTTATATCAAGGCACCCTAGTTTTAGGAAAAGAAGATCTGCACAGCTGCTGTACCTGCACCCAAGCAATAGGGAAGAGCTACTTCTTGTTGTAGTCAGCTACAACAAGAAGTAAGTAGTGGATGTAGACTGCTAAGGAGGGTCAAAGGGAATCCTTATTGTTCTCTTTTCTTACTTAGGCCAGTAGCTTTAAGAATAATAAAATGATTGGGGTGATGAAAAATGTTCTAAAACTGGATTATTTCAGTATGTTTACTAAAAATCATTGAAATGAGTTAATTGTATGATATGTAACTTAAACCAGAATGAAGTTTCTAAAAATGACAAAATATATAAAATGTTAAAGTCCTGGAACTAGGCCTGAGAAATCCTCAAATCCCATTCCTTAATTCTCAAAGTGGAAATTAAAACCCAGTCAGTATACAATTTTCAGTTACCCTGGGCAAGCTAGCTGATCTCTCAGTTTAGAGAAGACTTTTGGTAGATGGATGCATACTACCTCAAGCAGAGAAAGGGTAGGTAGTGTTCTTCCTAAAGCATCAATATCCTAAAGTCACTGTCAGTCACCTCAGGGCTGTGGCTTGTGCTGTTGATACCCACCCCACTCCCAAGAATATCAAGTTCCTCCTTACAGCACAGAGTCAAGTCCACACACCTGTGTCCCTGCCTCCCAAGCATTTTCCCTTAGGACCTGCCACTCCCCGTTCCCTCCTCCCTCTCTCTCCCATCTCACAAGTTACCTGCTCTGCAGAGTCTTCTCTGACAAGTTCTAGGCATACTTAGACTTAATGGCATGTCACTCCCTGCTCCATTCTGCACACCAGTGGTACTCAAACTGGGAGCACATTTTGCCCCCCAGAGGACATTTGACAATGTCTGGAAACATTGGTTATGACTTGAGGGAAGTAAGGATAGCCCCTAGCCTCTAATGGATAGAGATGAGGAATATGGCTAAACATTCCATACTGCACAGGATGGCCCCCAAAACAGAATTATCTGATCCAAAATGTCAGTAGTGCTAAGGGTCAGGAACTGTACTGTACACGCAATAAAAAGGCCTTAAGGACAATAGCCTTGTTTTCCACAATTTTACCTGTTGGACATAGCCCACATACAGCCAAGAGAAAGAGAGAAATATGTGTCAGTAATTGAAGAGCCAAGGGCCCCTGCTTTACTCTCAGGGCTCATTTCTGCCTGAATCAAGGATCCTGGTGACAATCTGCCGAATGCAGTAGATGAAGCCTCTTGTCTTTGGGACAGAGGTAGACTTAATGGGAGCCCAGTGGCCTTCCTCATCATTTTTAGGGATCCTTTAGACTCTAATCTATGGTCCCCTTCCCAAAAACTACATTAGATATTAGAAGAGTTTATCTTCATTAGGCCTGACCCTTGCCTTACCTCACTTCTGTTTGCTGCCTTTTACTGGTCAGGGCCTCTTGGTTCTTCATTCTGTTCCTACCTTGCCCCACCTCCTTTTTTTACACCAATTTCACTGTTGTTTCTTAATAACTTTCCTAATCCTATTTATGTTTGTATTAATTTCCTATGGGTGCTGTAACAGATGACCACAAACTTAGTGGTTTAAAACAACACAAACATCTCTTTAGTTCTGGAGGTCAGAAGTCCAAAATCAGTTTTGTTGATCTAAAGTCAAGGTATAAGCAGGCCTTCTGGAGGCTCTTTGGTGAATCTCTTCCCTTGCATTTTTAAGCTCCTAGTGGGTGCCTGTATTCCTTGGCTTGTGGCCTCTTCCTCCATCTTCAAAATGCACCCCTCCAGTCTGTGTCATCACATCACTTTTCTGACTCTGACCCCCCTCTTGTAAGGAACATTATGATTATATTGGGCTCACTTAGATAATTCAAAATAATCTCCCCATCTCAAAATTGTTAATCACACCTGCAAAATCCCTTTTGCATATAAGGTAATATACACATGGGTTCCAGGGATTAGCATGTGTACATCTTTTGGGATGCAGTGATTTAGCTGACCACACCCATCTTTTGAATCAACTTGGTTAATCAAAGATCTCTTCTAAATGTGAAGGAACATAAATTTCCACTTGCCTTATTTATGAGTTGGAACAGGAACTCTTTCTTAAGTAAGAGCTTTGTTTCTTTGGTATATTTTGAAGAACCTGTGTATATATGTTTCCTCTCTTCAGATTACAAAATCAGTAATTGTTGAATCTTAATGTCTTAGGTACCTGTTCTACTGTAGACTTTGAATAAAGGTGGCAAAATCACCACTCGACTCTCATTCCCAAAAGATGATGCTGCCTCACCTGCCCTAGCCCAGTTTTCCTATGGCAGATAAGGTGATGAGTGCCTGTGAGAGTCTGAAGACCTGAAAGAAGTCCCCTGGGTGCCCAGCCACCTTTGTAGTCTGTACTCAGTTCTTCAACTGTAGGTTCCCCATCTCCCTCACCCATGTGTGGTCCCAGTAGAGGGTCTCAGCACAAAACACTGAACTGCTGGCTTGCAATCAGCCTCCCCATGTAAGAAAATAATCTTTCTCTTCTTGTGTGCAGCCCTCTCCCATGGACAACCTGATAGTTTCACTATCTTTTCTGGGTTTGCCCTGTACTTACCCATGTCGGGGTGGGATGACTCCTACTCAGGTCATTTGGTCCTCTTCAGGGAGACAGGGAATGGGGGAGCATACATGCATAGGTTGGGGGGGGTGGCGGTCTAGACCTTGCAGATTTCTCTGAAAAGCATTTTCCATCTACAGCAGATATGGATTTGTAAAACCCATCCCAGGATACCATTGTCACTCCCAATAAAATTATCAATAACTCGGTAATACCATCCAATAGTGTTGAAATTTCCCCCACATTTCTAAAACAAAAATGCTATTTCTCATAGCTTTATTGAGGTGTATTTCACATTCCATAAAATTCAATACAAATTAATATTTATGTATATTCACTGAGTTGCGCAACTATCACCCCAATCTAATTTTAAAATATTTTCAATAGCCTAAAAAAAAACTCCATTATCATTAGCAGTCACTCCTCAACCCTGTGCCCCTTGAGCATCCTCCTCTTTTATTTAGCACAATATATTTGAGGTCCATCCATGTTGTAGAAATTATCGTTACTATATGCTTTTTATGGGTGGATCATATTTTAATATTTTATTGTATGGCTAGATGATGTTTTGTTTATCCATCAGTTGATTTTTATTAGGATGGTTTCCATTTTTTGGCCTTTATGCTGCTATAAAAGGAGTTAGTAAAACAAAACAAAAGGAATAATGCTGCTATAAACATTAGTGTACAGGTTTTTCTGTGAACATGTGTTTTCATTTTTCTTGGGTATATACCTAGCAGTGTAATATGGTAACTCAATGTTTAACCATTTGAGGAGCTGACAGACTGTTTTCCATAGGGTCTGCTTCATTAACATCCTCACCAGCAGTGTGTGAGGGTTCTGATCTCTCCACATTCTTGTGAACACTTATCTTTTTATTATAGCCATGATAGTGGATATGAAGTGGTATCTCATTGTAGTTTTTATTTACATATCCCTGATGGCTAATAATGCTGAGTATCTTCTCACATACTTATTAGCCATTTGTGTATCTTTGGAGAAGTGGATATTCAAAACCTCTGCCTTTTTATTGTCTCTTTATTGTTGAGTTGTAGGAGTCCTTTATATATTCTGAAATCAAGTCGTTATCAGATATATGACCTGCAAATATTTTCTCACATTCTGCTGTCATATACTTTTTTGCACAATTGCAATACATCCCTTTAAAGCAGTTGCCACCTGCCAAAATACAAAAGTGACCAATATAGTCACAATTCCTAAATAGCTAGTGAAACTGAAGTGTGAGGCAGACCTCTCCAAATGCTCTTCTTGGATCTAGAAACTCATCTGGAACCAGATAAGGGCAGAGCCAGCAAGAGGCACCGCAAGCTCCTACCTTGGCCTCAGGGGTGACTTGGGCTTAGTCAGATCTGAGAGAACTTCAAAGAAAAAACAGGAATGGACTTTGTACCAGGCTAAGACCAAGGGATGGTTTTGTTTCCAGCTCTGTCATTCTCCAGACCTCCGACCTGGATGTGTCATTTAAATTTGCGAAGCCTTTTTCCTCCACTTATATGACTGGTGAAATGAACAAGTGTATGAGAAAGCATGTTGTTTTTTTGGGAAATGTCATATGAAAGGAGGATGAATTATGCATCATGTAAAACTGAGCATCTTGAAATCTTTCAGCTCTTTAGATCCAAATGCTTGTGCCTGAAATATACAAAGGGGCCATTGGGATTCAAGGTATTTGGCACTTCTTTATACTGTGGTCATAGTAGACAATGTCCTGGAATGGGAGAATTTCTCCAAAAGGCTGTTTATGAATAAAAATGGTGTCCAAGAAAGAGGTACCCTGAATCAGATGAATCCTCCTTTTTCCATGGTCCTTATGCTGCTTTTTTTTCACATTGGCTTTTTAAATTTATTTTTTATTGTGGTAAAATATACATAACCTAACTTTACCATTTCAGTGACAATGTCAGACTTCCAGCCAAGATGGAGGCGTAGGTAGATAGGCTTTGCCTACTCACACAACCAAAAGAAGGATAACAAATTTAAAAATAAAAACCAGCAAGAACTGTCAGAAAATCAAGCTGTATGGAAGTCTGACAGCCAAAGTGTTAAAGAAGAAACATTCATCCAGACTGGTAGGAGGGGCAGAAGCTGGCAGTTGGGGTGGAGAGGATGTGCAGCAAGGTGGTGGCTGGAGGACCAGGTGGTCCCATACTTGCATGCAGATAAACCATGAGGAAAAACTGGGGAGCAAGACAGACCATACGACCCAGGGTTCCATTGTGGCAAAAAGAAA